ATTGTTAGGTATTATACAATTAAAATATTATTGCCAAATATTTTTGGAGAATTAAGTAAGTTTTTTAAAGAAAATAAAAGAAATTTAGGAAAAATTATGTCATACACTTTATTAACTAATTATACACATTCCCCTTCTTCTATAGATATTGATAGATATGTTCAGAAAATTTTTTGTAGATTTTTCGATTGAAAAATAAAAATTTTATAGAGGGTGTGTATAATTAGCTAACAGAGTGTATGTCTCAGAAACCGATTCAGATAAACAATATTTCATTCGAAGGGCTTGTCGAGCTTAATTGAATGACATATTGTTTGTCTGAATCGGCCTCAAGGACATATGTATGACAAAATTTTAACAAAATTTATTTTAAAATTAAAAAAGGTATTAAAGAAGAAAATGAATTAATAATTTATTTATATACTAATTATTTTAATTTAAATAATATAATTGAAAAATGGAGAAGTAAAGCTTTGTTAGATTATTTTTTATATAAAAATTGGAAGTTAATTAAAGAAGAACGTAATTAATTTTTAATTATTTTTAAAATAAAATACCGAAAATCTCTAATTGAATATCTGGGAATTAAATTTTTAAGTCTATTAGAGATTTTGTGGCAATTATTTTAGCTTATGAAAAAATATGGAAAGAATGCTTGGAGGATTATATTGCTGCACAAATTTATATGAAATTATATGTTACAAAGGAGATCACAAGAGAAAATAAATCTAAATATTTTGCAAAAGAATTCAGAGTAAATTTTGTTTAAATAACAAAATGTAGACCTGTATATTTTTATGGAATTTGTTAGGATAGCTTTAGTTAGTTTTTTAGTAGTCGTGAGTAACAGTTATTCAGTCTTATTCCGTAATTAAAGCTAGTATTCTCACGCTTATTCTATTGTACATGCCATTCGATTCGTTTTGGAAAGCTGAGTCGTATGGTACCACTATTCTGTTAATATATTTATTTTTGTTTTGTAGAAATTTCTTTTTTAAAAATTCCACTGGGTATAATCGTTGTAAGATTTTTATCTAAATTTTGGGTTAATATTAAGTTTGTCGGATCCGGATCCAAAAAAAGACCGGATATCCGGAAATTTTCGGTTCGGATATCGGATCCCGATATCCTAGGATTTCCAACTAACTGGCAACCTTTGTTAATATATATACTAATTAAGCTGAGAATAGAGAGAGTATAACAATTATAGAACTAAACTTTAAATAATGAAGATTATAAAATTTAGAAATGGTTTTTTGATATTAAAACATTTGCAAAATTATTGATAGATTCAAAATCTATTGGATTTTTATATTATACAAAAGAATGTTTAGAAGATTTGACAAAGAAAAATAAAAAGAATAAAAAACAAAATAAAACTTTAACAAATGAAGAAAAGACTGATTTAGCTTTTGAATGTATTAATAAAAAAATTCCTTTAAAATTGAGTGGAAAAGAAAAATTAAATGAAATACACGTAAATAAATTAAAGGAAATATTTAATGATAAAAACAATAATGACCCTGAAATTAAGCTTTTAATTGAAAAAATTAAAAAGGCTAAAGGTAAAGAGAATTAGTAACAAATAAAAAATATTAGAGCTTTATTTTTAAGATGAAGATATTGTTATGTTGACAGATTATGAAAAGAATGAATTATTGGAAATAATTGGTACTAAATATCCGATTATTTCTAAATGCATTTTCTTCTCTTTACTCCCTTACTTCCAAAACGACGGGGCATTTTTAAAAATTAATTTACAAGGTGCGGCAACTTTTCCGACACTTTTGTTTTTGGCATAACTTTCTTCAATTTCAATGAAAATTAATAATTCTTTTTTTATTTGATTCCCAACACTCTAGAAAAATTTTTGATAATAAAATATTCTCTAAATTTTAGAAATTAATTTGAATATTTGTTCCCAAAGTTTTGGCAAAATTTTTAGGACCAAAAGTCATCTGATTTAAAGGCTATATGTTTGATATGAGGGAAGTTTATATCATTCGAATAAGCTCTTTTAGGTGATTCGAATGGCATCTTAATTAGTCGAATTCGTTATTCTTGAGCTAAGATATAGATCATTGAATGACAGATTAGGATATAGAAGTACAAATGGCACCATAGTTTTAAATGTTTTGTTTTTGTATGAGAAGGAAGAATGAAAGAGAAGGAAATGCGAGGGAGATAATCGGATATTACCAAATAATTAAAAAAAGATAAAGGAAAGAAAAAACAGAATGAATGCCAACTATCGGATTCAAGCAATGCATCGGTATTTATAATTTTATTTTGATTGGCCTTTTTCAAAAATTTCGTTGTTTAATTAAAATTCATTTTCAACCCAATAAAATTAAAAATTAATTTAAAGTCATCAACAACATCCCAAATAAATATTCCAATTAAAAATGTTGAAACCGAAGAAATTGAAAATATAAAAAAGGAAAATAAACTAAAAGAAGTAATTGAAGATAAACCTAAAAAGATATCTGATAAAAGTCATATTAATTTAAACGAAAAAGGAAACACAAAAAGTTAGATAATAAATAATATTTTAATGAGAATTTAACTAGTAACAAAAAATCTTTTTTTTAATTTTAGGAACTCGTTTTATTACTTCATCTCAATATAAAATTGACAAAAATGTAAATAAAGTCTCTGAGAAAAATCAGAAAAAATTTGAATTTGAAGGCAGAGAAGTAAATAAAGTCTCTGAGAAAAATCAGAAAAAATTTGAATTTGAAGGCAGAGAAGGTTTGTTTTAATTTGGAAAATAAATTGTAATAAGCATTTTTTATTAAATAAAGCTTCATTAATTTTTTAAATTGATTAATTTTAGTCTCTTTTTTCAAAATTTTTCAAAATTTTCGCCTGCGGCGCAAAAAAGGAAGATTTTTGGATCTAAATCTCCTTAATCCCCCCGATATCGCCCTTGATCCACTTAAATAACACGATAATCCACCCAAATCCCGTTTAATCCATTGATAACCCTCTTAATCCTCTTATATCATTCGATATCCCCCTTTATCTACCCAAATCACTCAATGAAAAATAATTCACTGATTTTCCACCCGGAGCCCGGAGCCAACATGGAGCGGCTCCGAAGATCGCCGGCTCCTGACAAATGGCAAATACCCAGCACTGCTTATAATTTAATAAATAGGTACTTTATGGATATATCACCCCCCCTATTTTGAGTCTCAGAATCTTCCTTAATATGTAATAATGGTCAGCCTTTTTCTTACCCCAATTTCTCTCCATTTCCCTGTGGTAAATTTGACTGATTGAAAAATTAATCTTTTCTTTAATAATGCCTCTCATTAAAATTTACCATAGGGAAATAGAGAAAAATTGGGGTAGGAAAAAGGCTGCCCATTATTACATATTAAGGAAGACTCTGAGACTCAAAATAGGGGGGGTGATATATCCATAAAGTACCAATAAATATATCGAGATTCTCCTGTATATAATTTAATTATTTTATAGCCAAACAAATGAGTGAAGAAAAGTTACAAATTATTATAAATTTTTTTGAAGATTTGGGTCTTTTTAAAATTAATTGGGAAATTGAGGAAAATATTTTTAATATGAATACAAATAAATTTATTGAAGAAATGTTGGGAAAAGAAAACAGAAAAAAATTTATTGAAGCTATAAATTTAGAAAAAAATTTGAAAGGAAATGAAGAAAAACAAAAAGAAAATATTTTTACAGAATTAATTTTTAAACAAATTGTTGAAAAAATTGATTTTAAAGGAAAAGAAGAAGAAGAAGAATTAAATGATGAACAAAAAACAAATTTATTTGCTTGGGAAATTTATTGGATAATTTTTAAAATTTGTTCAGAATTGAGTGAAAATGATATACAAAAAATAAATGAGGTATACAGGAATGTTTTTTTAAATTGGAAATAAAATATTAAAGTTCTTCGGTGCCCTTTCTCGATTAAGAGAGAGGGCACCCTTTCCGGGACCCAATAATTATCCAAGAGAATTATTAGTAAAACACTGTATACAATTTTGTTATAGTAAATATGTGATTTTTATTAAAAAATTTAAAAAAAGTGTAAGATGAATTTTAATAATCCTTACATGATGTGGAAAAAATTTATTTAAAATATTTCTTACTCAAATTTTCCGCTTTTTCACTACCTTTTATGGTACATTTCCGTTAATCGACCGCAAACTGAGTGCTAGCCGATTTTTGATCGGCTATAACTTTTTGGCAATCGAAAGCCCATGATAAGCTGTACCTTTTTTCCTACTTGACGGATCAGGTCTGATAACTCCGTAAAAATCTATAACCCGATAAATGAAAATCACCAAATAACTGGACTCGTAAGGTTATAACTTTTTAAGAAGTGATCAGACCTGATCCATCAAGTTGAAAAAAAGATACAGCTTATCGTGGGCTTTCGTTTGCTTTAAAATTCATATTTATAGGATCAACCATCAAAAAGTTATAGCCGATCAAAAATCGGCTAGCAATCAGTTTGCGGTCGATTAACAGAGTAGTACTCTTTTTATAAAGTTTTTAGATTAAATTAATTTACTTTTATTTTGTAAATAAACTCTAATTTAAAAATTTTAGAAGCTGAATATTGAAATAAATAAAGAAAAATTGGAAAAAAGTTTAAAGAATGTTGAGATGAAATTAAAAAATATTTTTAGGTAAGTTAATTATAAATATAAAAATATTTTTAATTTAATTTTAAGTGGAAATGATGGAAAAAAACTTTTAATTATTTATCAACATCAATTTGAAGATGAATACAAGAAAATACGAGAAAAGTAGAGTTTGAGAAGGTTAACTGTACATATACAAAATTGTTCACATAAATTTTACTAAAAATGTTTATTTCCCAAGTCATTTTTGAAACACGTTTTTTTCTCAATTTTAAAGAAAACTCTTTAATTTTTAAAATTTTATCACATACATTTAACGACATGTACAAATTTACAGTATGGATACAGTATATATTAATGTCTTTTACTTCTCATTCTTCACTCATTCTTTACGGCCACTTTACGGGTTCTTTTAATTTTGTAGTGTTTATCCGTCCAGTATTCATAGCACACATTGCCAATCACAACAGCATCAACAAAGAATTCGATGCCGTGATCCCTTCGAAAAGCAATATTGCACAACTTAAAAAAGTTTAAATTTAATAAGAAAATATTATTATATCTCACATATCCGGTGGCGAAGGCAAACAGCACAATTGAGATATACAGCAACACAAGAGCATAGATGAATAGATACAGAAGAATTTCGAGTAGAGTAAAAAGAATAAAGTAGATCCAGGTCCACATGTTGCCTTTAACGAGTAGAAGTGTGTTTTGACAAACTTGGTGTGAGTTGAATGTGTAGAGATAGGGAAAAGTTGGATTTACATCTTTTATAGAGAAATATCTCGAGAGATTCGGATTGCCTATATAAGTCCAAATACATTCCCTCAAACAAAGATCTAGTTAGGACTAACAAAGCACTCTTCAATTCTTCACGCATGTCTTCGCAAGGATTGGGCACGGCATTCGCGGCACTCGTAGCTTTCTCGACCGATGCAGTGTCTCTTACAATTGCTCTTATCTTTCTGATGCTTTTTGGGACGTTTCTGCCTATGCAATGTTGCTGCAAAAAGAAGAAACGAAAGGTGACATTGGACAATATTTTTATTTTTAATATCCAATGTTTTTATTTTAAAGGGATTGGTTCGACCACAGCCTGCTCCTGCTGCAATGGAGTCTCCATCACCACAACAACAAACGGGTGGACAACAGCAAAGTGTTAAGAAGGTTGTCAAAAAGCCAAGCGAGGAGTCATCAAAGAAGGAAGGACCAAAAAGCAAGTCAATTAAAGGGCCAGAAATGATTGACGAGCGAAAAGAAGAAAGGAAAAAGCAATTGGTAAAAACAGCGGTTGGCCTTCCAAAGATGAAGAACGACAAACACGACGAGGGAATGGCAGATGGTTGTGGCTACATGACATTGGACAAATTGGATAGAAATATTTTTGTTCGAGACCTTCCAAAGTTAACGCCAAAACTGGGTCCTCCAAAAATGGTTGATGAGTCGCCTAAACAGAAAGGAGTTGCTGATGGGGCTGAATATCAAACTCTTGGAAAGCTGGATGTGAATATATTCAAGACTGCCAAGGTGGGGATGAAGAAAGCGAAGGTGAATTTTGAAGAAAATTTTCTCAAAATAATTTGTTGTTCTTTTTCAGCCTAAAAAGATAACAAAGTCGAAGCCCAGTCTCGACAAAACAAAGTCAAAGCCCACTCTCGATAGGACAAAGTCAAAGCCCAGTCTCGAGAGAACAAGATCGAAGCCCAGTCTCGATACAGAAACGGGTGAAAGCGAAGAGACAGAGGGAGAGTCGAGCGTTGACCGGACGAAGAGTGAAGAGAAGACTGTGGACAAAAATAAGAAGAAGAGAAAGACTTCAAAGGAGCATGCAAAGAAGCATCACAAGACGGGTCACAAAGATAAGAAAAAGCATCATCACCATCATAAGAAAAGCAGTAGTAAGAAGGATAAATCCAAGCCAAAACTGAAAGAGGATAAGTTTGGCAAAAAGGAGGGTATGGCTGAGGGATATCAATATGAGGTGAATTTTGTTGGTAGAGAAGAGTTTTTAATTTTAAATTCTTTTTCAGACGCTAAACAGTCTTGACCGCAACATATTTACTCAACATAGTGTGACAAAGTCATCTCCATCTTTTGATAGTGAAGATGATGACTGAAAGAAGTGAAAGATGAATGATGCTTTTCTCTATAATTCTTGAATATCTTGTATTAATATTGTATGTATATGTTGTTGAAGTATTTCTTGTCATTTTTGTTTGTCGTTAAATATATGATAATAATAATTTAGCACGGATTCCCTCGTAAAACTTTTAGGCATACTAACATTTAAGAATTCTAATAGCAAATTTAGGGGGCTTTCATAAAAGCATAAAATAGAAATTTAATACAAAATACATATAAGAGGTCGAAAATATTTTTAAAGACGGCTGCATTTGTTCTCCGTTGATTTTTACATTTGCGATCTCAATGATGGGAGTACATGAGAACTTAGTTTCTTTTGTATTACCTATCGATATTGATAGATCTGTTTAAAGAAATTTTTGTGGATTTTTCGATTGATAAATGAATTTTAGAAGGGGTTATAATTATTTAACACCAATTATTTGAAAAAACTAGCGGAGTTGGCTTTTATATATACACTTAATATACGAAATACTAGCCACATACATATGTATTTTAATAGCAAATTTTATTATCTTTATTAGACAAGTTTTATAATCTAAAAATAAGTTGAAGGTTGTATTTAGTTATATTATATCTTGGGTGTGCCAAAGGTTGTTAAAAAAAGCGAACGGCGAAAGAAAAAAGTCCAAAAAAAGCGAAATTCAGCAAATGACGAAAGGCGAAACCTACCCAAATCTCTCTAAATACTCTTAAATCCTAAAAATCCTTGATTCATCTCCCTTGTGTCATTCATCTTGATCCAACCTAGTCCTTATAAACCCCGGCCCTATATTACAAACACTCACATTTTCCAACTTCCTAAAAGTTGTAATTTTATCAAAGTATTCAAAAATTCTGAAATTTAAAATAAAAAATAAAAATTACTTAACTTGGAATTAATAATTTAAAATATTTAAAAAATATTAAATTTATCTTTATTTTTTTCCCACAAATAAATTCAAATATTCTTTTTTCCATTTATTTAAAACTCAAATTTCTTCCAGCTAAACTAACATTTTTAACAAAGTTGACCACCATTCTCTCTAAATTTTTCAACATGGACAATATCTGTTTAATTTAAAAATATTTTTAATTAAATTCATTAATTCACTAAACATTATTTGTCGAATTATTTTCTCGTAAAAAATCTTTAACATCTTCTTTTTTGGCCTCTTTTAGACAATCCATGGAAGGACAACGTTCACAATATGATACAAAATTTATTAGACATTTTTTATGCCCAATGGTATAGCAGCATTCCATCATGCCTAATGGCAAATTTAAAACACGATTACAGAAGCAACCTCCATTATTATCATTATTGTGATTAATATGAAATTCCAAGTCATTTCCCAAATCATTTAATGAATTCTATAGAAAATAAAGAATTAAATTTTATTTAGTATTTTAAAAATTTAAATTAACCCTTAATTCTCTTGAATTTGAAGACATTTTAAAAAGAAATAATTTCTGAAATAATTATAGAATAATTAAATTATTAATTTAATAAATAAAATTACTTTTAAAAAATTGTTTTAATTTTTATTTAAAAATAAAATTACAATTAAATCACAAAAGATATTACTATAAATTACCAAATATTTATCGAATTTTCTATCATATATTATAAAAAAATTAAAGGATTTTTTAAATTTAAATTTTTTTTTAAATTTAAATTAAGTAAAAATAATTTTTATTTAAAGTGAAAGGTAATTTGAGGAAATAAAATTATTAAAAAGTTTTAGTTTTTAAAAAATATTCTGTATATTTTTAAATTGTTTTAAAATAAAAAATAAATTATTTTAATTTATTAGCAGATATTTGTAGAATAAAAATAAAATGTTGGGAGAGGGATGAGTATTTTATTTAAATAAATTTTTGATTAAATTGTTAGATAATAGGGAAAATAAACCTTTATTTTATCCAATCAAAAAAGTGGGGTTAAAGTATAGTAATTAGTTGTTAGTTTAATACAAATAAAATTAAATTAAAAAAATTTTTTAAACAAAATGTTTTACATTTAATGAGAAAATGCTTTATTTTTTACAATTTCTTTGATCTTTCAACTTTTTAAAAATATTTTCTCTCCTTCTAGCTAGAAATGTTAATTTTATATTCCTTTGTTTCAGCTATTTATATTTTTATTTAAAGAAAAGAGCAAAAATATAACCTAGGTCCATCTACAAAATATTCTTTTATTTCCAATATTTTTTTAACATTGTCAATCTTCTCGTTAAATATGTTAATTTAATTTGCGGAATTAAAATTTTATTAATTCACCTACACAAAACTTAAAATACAATTACACCAATAGTATGTCTCAAAATTTAAGAAATTTAAATTCGAATTTAAAAATTAAATTTTAATTTTTCTCAAAATTCAACTTAAAATTCAAATTCAACTATCAAATCTCATTTAAGTCTCAAAACTCTCTCTCATTTACTGTCGACTCCTCAATTTACATATAGTTTTTTAATCCAACAACAACTAAAATGTAGTTAATATTAGAGGTCGGCGCGGGACGGGATCCCCGAAATCCCGGATTTTTTTGTTTTTCGGGATCCGGGATTTTTTGAGATTTATCCCTCGGGATCCCGGTAGTTCGATTTTACCGGCCTCTAATTAATATTAGGGTGAAAAATCCAAATAACTCTTTATTTATATAAGACGCCAATTTTTTTGTTGGAGTTGAGATTTGAACATTCAGTAACTTAAAATTCCAATCCCCCACCCCTCTTAAACTTAACTCAAATGCATTAACCACACTTACAAATTAATGTGCAAATTATCCCTTTACAAATGGGTCTTCCTTAGAGATCGGCACGGGAGGAATCCCGGGTGGAATTTTACGGGATCCCGTCCCGAAATCCCCGGTTTTTAGCGACGAACGGGATTAACCCCGCGGGATCCCGCCCGTCGAACTTTTCAATCTCAATCCCGTTACGGGATTGAGACCCGGAAATGTGATTTTGCCGAATCTCCAGTCTTCCTCTAATAAATTTATTTTTTAATTTTAAAATTTTGGCAGAAAATTGGCAAAATGATTTTCACAGCTGATTTTTCATTTTTCTAATTCTTTTTTATTTTTTTTCCAAAAAATTATTTTAGAAATTAAAATATGAATATCGGTTATTGCAGTATTTGCCTAGAAAATTTCCGGACAACGGAAATGGCCGTTCTTCGAAATTGTGGTCATTCTTTTCATCAAAAATGTATTTCTCATGCAATTCAAATTAAAAAAGAATGTCCACTTTGTCGTGCACATAACAATTCTGTTGATGTAATTTCACCTAAATTTGACAGTCCAGTTTTGAATCTTCCAGCCGAAAATATTAAAAATGAGGTGAAATTTTAATTTAAAAATATTTTCTAAAATTTAATTTTTATCAATTTTTCATTTCAAATTTTCTTAAATTTTCTTACAAGGAACCATTCTTTACTGTGACCACGAATTTGGTATTTTTTGGTACCATTCGATAGAGGGCCCCCGACTTACTATTGCAAAGTGCTATCCGTTTTCTTGCAAAAAATTTTGAAAAAAAGTTATGGCCAGTCAAAGTTTCAGTCCTTGGGAACGTTAGAGTCTGCGGTAGAAGGAGAAAGAAAAGAGCAACTTCATTTTTTATTAAGGTTATTAAGAAAAATTTTATCAGCCTCTATCGAATGGTACCAAAAAAACGAATTCGTGGTGACAGTAAAGAATGGTTCCTTGTTGGTATTCTTTGTTATTTTCGATAAATTAAATTTGTTTAGGCACTTAATATCGCTCTTAGTTATTATGACCGAATTTACAAACAAAATAACTGTTGTGGATCTTCATCTTCTGATATCATTCTTTCGCCTGATGAGCAGCGAGAACAATTACATGCTTGTCTTTTGGTATATTTTTTTAAATAATTTTATTTAGATTTTTTTAAAATTATTTCTTAACTTTTTTTTCTAAGTAAGAGAGAAAATATTTATATTTCCTTTCATTCCTATACGAAAAAAATTTTTTTAGAATCTCATAACTACAATTGACGATCAATCAGAAGAAGACGACAAACATTGGGAAGAATTGAAAAAGTTCGTAAAAATAGCTGGTATTGCTGCAATTTGTGCAGTTTTTGCTTTTTTGTGTTATCTTTATTGGCCGGTATTTTTAAATAAAATTTCAAAAATTTTAAAAATTATTTTAAAGTTAATTGCCCCTATTGCTGGTCGTATTGCTTCTTTTGTTTGGAATTTCATAAAGGGCTTACGCGACTTTGTGAGAGCACATCAACCCGAAATTTTCGCTGGGATTGTTGGTCTAATGGAGTTTGGAATAGCTTGGAAAACTTCTGGAATTTTTGAAGAGGACGAATAAATCGAAAATAATAAGGCTTAATTCACTTTAAAAATTTTTTAAATTTAAATTTTTTTATAAAATTGCCTAAAATAACTATACATAAGAGATCGCGCCGACCCGATTCACGAACAATCGTAATTCGAAATTTTCGAGAATTATCGATTCCCGAAAATCGGGAATTTGATTTTCTGTCGGCGCGTTCCCTGCATACATATTTTTATAAATAGAAATTCATTTCAATTTATCTTTCTTTTTTTACTTGAATAAATTTTTTAAAAACTATGGAGGTGATTTCTCAGTTGTTATTTTTTTCAATTAATATATTAATTATGTTAAGTTTTTAAACTTTTACTTTTTAAAACTAATTAATTTTTCTCCTAAAAATTATTTTTAATTTTGGGAAAAACTAGTTTTACAATTAAAACTGCCTAGTTTATTTGTAATTTTTTAGGATAAAATGGATGAGGGTGCCATTTGTTTTTCTCAACAATTAGAAGATCGTTATTTTAGAATATTAGATGACGAAACTCCAATAGTTCACGTTAACGGCTTTAATAATTGTGTTGGACAACCTCTTCCAAAATCTTCTAATATTGTATTTTTTAAAATTTGGTAAAAGAAATTTAAAATATTTTTTTAAAGTTTGAGGGTATTGAAGGCGATTCTACAGCTGCCGAAAAGTTACCTAAAAAGTCTTATACATCAACTGCTCTCAAAAATGCAATTTACCGAAATAAAGGTTGATTATTAAACGAAAATATTTAAAAAAATTATTTTTTTCTTCAGTTAGTCAACATAAATACAAAGCCCCAAATAAGACACAAGAAGAACTTTTCAATGAAGTTTGAGAATTTTGAAATTATTTAATTTTTTAGAATGCAGGAAATGTTCCCGCTGGGCCAGCATTTGAACAAATGAATGCTGACGAAAGTAGGATTGGGTTAAAAGGTGGTGATGGGACTTTTCCAAAAATTAGGTAATTTAAGAAATTTATTTAGAATTTTTATTATTATAATATTTATTGTCTATTCCCGTATTCCAAACTATTTGGGGTTGAATTTAATCCCCCCCTCTCCGTGGCGCTCCTCCCCGAAAAATTTTCCTCATGCCCCACCCCTCGTCAGGGAACAACTCTACAACTAACTTTTTAGTTACTAGTTTGATCTGTTTAACAAATACCATTTTTTAGGGATTTCACTCATTTTGTCGAACCTTTGAAAAATAATTTATTGGAGAAAGGATATTCAAAGCCTACACTTGTACAACGTTCTGTGATTCCTATTATTGAGAAAAAGAGAGGTTTCGATTTTTATAAATTTAACTAATATATTTTGAGCACATTAAATGAATAGGATTTTTTCTGAAATAAGCCAAATTTAGTTTTAAAATTTTTAATAAAATTGTAAGAATATTTAAATATTTTTTACTAGGTTATGATTTAATAGCAAGAGCACAAACAGGAACTGGCAAAACTGGCGCTTTTCTATTTCCAATTATTCATTTACTTCATAGAAGAAAACAAAAGATGAATATTAATGGAAGTCCTTTATACGAACCAAATGTATTTTTTTAATTTTTTATTTTAAATTTATTTTTAGGCAATAATTATTGCTCCGACTAGAGAATTAACACAACAACTTGGAGACACGGCAAAAGTTTTTTCTCGTGGTGAGACATTTGAAACGCTAAAATAGTTTTAACCAGGCCCGTAACCAGAATTTTTTCGGGGGTGGGCACGGGGTCAAATTTTGGCAATTTTAGAAGGCCTTGAGAATTTTAGAAGAACTTTAGACATAAAAATGTGAATTTTTTTTATGTCATTTTATAAAATATAATTTTTAAAAATTAATTTAGGTACTTGTCTAAAAGTAGTTTGTTCATATGGAGAAATTAGAATATCTGAATCATTGGAAGAAATGCGTAATGGTTTTGATATTTTTGTGAGTACAATGGGGAGAATTATGCAATTTATATCTGAAGAGAAGGTTTTAAATATTTTTAAATAATTTTTATTTTAAATTAAAGGTAAAATTGACTGGATTAAATTTTTTGGTGTTAGATGAAGCAGATAAATTATTAAAAGATGAAATTTTCTTTAGAGACATTTTAAAAATACAAGAAATAGCAACAAAGGTTTAAAGAAGGAATTTAAAATATAAAATAAAAATATTTTTAGAATGAACAAAAACATAGAACTTTAATGTTTTCTGCAACATTTGATGGAATTGTTGAGGAATATGCGGGACGGATTTTACAACCAAATTATTTTATGATATCAATTGGAGGGAGAGACGTTTTACCTCAAACTGTTAAACAAAAATTTGTTGTGGTAATTATTTTTAAAAGATAAATTGTTAAGAGTATAGTTTTGTCCCCTCATTTGCATTAAACTCTCGTTACTATTTCATCCTTTTGGGTCGTTTATATTGTTCTTTAAATTTAAAATTTTTAAAAGGACGTAATATTTTTATAATTAACGTTAAATAGTTAGACCAATTTGGAATTTATTACTAGTGATGTTCGGGTATCCCGAGTCGGGAAAATTTCCCTAGTTTTAGGCCTCCCGTCTCCCGAGATCCCCGTTTCCCGGGTTTTTTCTTCTCCCGAACAGCACTATTCATTACCTTTAAAAATTTAAAAGTGCTGTGTTTATTTCCCGTTTTTAAAAAATTAGAAGAATAATTATTCAAAATTTTAAATTATTTTTAAGTCAACAAAATATCAAAAATTTTCTGTTTTATGTGATGAAATTCTTTCAAAATTGAAACCAAAATGTAAAGGAATATATAAAGATGTAAATGGAGTTACTTGGAGGAGATTAAGTAAAAAGGTTAAATTTTAAATTATTTAAATAATATTTTCTGATTTTTAAAAGGTTGCCATTTTTTGTAATTCTCGACGTATGACAAATTGGTTGGCTTTAAAATTATCTATTAGAGGATGGAAATCAATTCCAACTAGCGGGTTTAAATTTTTTTTAAAATTAATAAAAAATTTTTTTAAGTGAACGTTCACAAAGACAACGTCAAGAAGCTTTAGTTGCATTTGAAAAAGGCGATTGTGACATTCTTGTTTCGACAAGTGTAATATCTAGAGGTTTAAATTTGGTTGGACTTGAATTAGTTGTTAATTACGAGGTTTTCTTTAGTAAAATTAAATTTGAAATTTTATTTTTTGTTTAAAGATGCCAAAAACTTTTGATGATTTTGTACATAGAACAGGAAGAACAGGCCGAGCTGGGAATGTAGGAAGAGCAATTACAATAGTTGACCCTGATTGTTTATTAGATTTGAGGCTTGTTACAGAATTAATTAAAGTTAGTTTAAAATGATTTTTTTTGAAAATTTTGGAATTCAAAAAAATTTTTAGGAAATGCAAAAAGAAAATATTGAAGTTCCTTCTGCTTTAATAGAATTAAATTGCCCAATAAATTATGACTAAAAATTTGTTATTTTCATATTTCTTATTCAATTTATTTGTTAATAAGGTACCATCATATCCCGTCCCCACCCCTATTTGAGTCTCAGATTAATTTTCTTTTTTACTGTTATTCATTTATTATGAAGGAAAAAATAGACGCCACCGCAAAAATCAATCTAACGGCAAAAATAATCATTTATAAAGAAGGAAGTTTTACAATTCCTAGGCAGAAAATAGTAAAAGGAAAATTAATCTTAGACTCAAATAGAGATAGGGCGGGATGATATGAACAAAGTACCGTTAATAATTATTTAATAACCTCATTGAAGTTTTTTTACATTTTAATAATACTTTTAAAATATTAAAAATTAATAAATATTTAATTATTTATTTATTTAAAGTATGTATAATTTCATTTATTTATCTTTAAATACTATTTTGTTATTTTTAATTTTATTTTTAGAGATTTTTTTAATTTAAAAAAAAATTTACTAACAATAAAATGAATAATTTGCCTTTGGAAGTAAAACTAGATATTCTTAAATTTCTTAATTTTGATCAATTATTTATTTTACAACAAATTAATTTTTATTTTAAATTATTAATTGAAAAAAATTGTGAGAAGTTGGCTAAAGAAGAATTTTATTCAATTTCTATTGTAAATTTTTTTATTATATTTACGACCGCAAACTGAGTGCCAGCCGACTTTGACCGTCTATAACAGGGCTGATCGAAATAAAAATATTTTTTATTTCGAATCGAAACGAAATAAAAAAATTCCTATTTCGTTTCGGAGCGAAACGAAACGAAATGAGCTTGTTTCGGACGAAACGAAACGAAATAAACGAAATAAAATAAAAATTAAAAAATATTTATTTTTCAGTTCATAAAAGCTTTTAATCGATATTTAAATCATAAAAATGCACCCCAAGAGCTAGATGCGTGACAAAATAATAGCAGAAACAAGAGTGGACCCTACAAATCTGCCGATATCCACCTTAATCCCCTTAAATCGACATATATCCCCCTTAATCCTCCGATATTCTAGTAAAATCCCACGATATACCCAAATTTACTTTGGAGTATACCACTTTAGATATCGATCAAGAGGGATAAAAGAGACATCTATATCCCTTGCGATATCTTCTATATCCTTCTCCCAATACCACCGATATTCACTTTATCCATAAAATCCAAGTATACACAAAATCCTCCGATATCCCCTTAATCTCGCCAAAACCACAATATCCCCTTAATCTTGCCAAATCTCCCTCAATATCACTAATCCCTTAAGATTTTTCCAAAATTATCAAAATTTTAAGGAATATTGCCCAAAATCTTAAAATCCAAAATCTTAAAATTTTCACCTGCGGCGTTGAAAAAGAAAGAAATCTAGCTCCATCGATATCTCCTTAATCTTGTTTGGCCTTACAAAATCCTCAAAATTTTAGTCTGCGGCGATGAAAAGGGAATAAAATTGGATACTTTAGTGGAGGTAACGTGGAGGGCTATTCTCAATACCCACATATCCCTCTTAATCCTTAATTAATCCAATTTGGAGTACTATCGTAGGTTGGTCTGCTCTAGCAAAACCTAGAGCAGACCTGCTCTAGCAAAACCCGTAAAGAGGTCTGCTCTATCAAATCCCGTAAAAGCTTTCTTCATTTTTAGCGCCGCAGGCGAAAATTTTTTGAAATTTGGAGCTCAAGAAGCCAAATTTCTTCCATTTTCAGCGCCGCAGGCAAAAATTTTTTAATTTTAGGCTGCTCATAAGACAGAAATCACTAAAAAATTGATGATTATTTCCATAAATTCCCGTTATTAGGGGTGTATTTTCTCACTTTTTTTTGTTTCGTTTCGTCCAGAATTTTGGCTATTTCGTTTCGAAACGAAACGAAATAAATTTTTTTCTGTTTCGTTCCGAAACGAAACGAAATGGAAAAAAGGGCACAAAAGAGCGAAACGAAACGAAACGAAACGAAATTTCGATCAGCCCTGGTCTATAACTTTTAATTGCTTAATCCAAATAAATAAATTTTATATTATTCGAGGGCCTCGATAAGCTACTATATATTTTTCTGATAGGAAAATTTACCTTTGGATAGGATAGATCAAATCTGATCACTTATTAAAAATTTATAACCCGATAAGTCCAGTTATTTGATGTTTTTCTGATTTATCGAGTTATAACTTTTTAATGTCTAATCAGATCTGATCCTTCAAGTTGGAAAAAAGATACCTCACATCTAGGGCTTTAGAATAATATAAAATTAATTTGTATAGGATCAGGCATCAAAAAGGTATAATCAATCAAAGTCAGCTGGTACTCAGTTTGCAATCGTATAACGGAAAAATAACAAAAAAAATTTTTTTAGGTAGATTTAAAAAAATATGAATATTTAATATGGAAATTTGGTCTAATTGAATTAAAAGAAAACAAAAAAGAATATTTTCCTTTACAATTGTGGAATAAATTTAATTACAAAATTGGAATGTTTTTATTTAATAATTTAAATAATGTGAAGACTTTGAAGGAAAGAAATGTAAGAAATTTTTCTAAAATTAATTTTAAATATTTTTTAGTGGCAAACAATTATATACAAACAAATTCCTTTGTTTCTATATATTAATGAACCTGAACAAGAATTTGCTATTAGACTAATTAAAAAAGGTTTTAGTTTTTTAATTTTTTGTGGGAGGGGGGGGGGGGGTTTAATATTTTTCTAAAAAAATAAAAGGGGAAATGTTCAAGAAAATTTTTTTGGAAATTTAGCTAACAAGGGAACCTTTCGAACTTCCACAAAAATTTTTAAATAAAATACCACAGTATAGGGTAGAGACCGGCAAAATCGCACTTCCGAGATCCGAGTCGGGATTTTAATTCTTAACCGATGCCGGGACGGGATCCCGAGGGATAAATCCTGAAAAAAATCCCGGATCCCGAAAATCAAAAAAATCCGGGATTTCGGGATCCCAGGAAATCCTGTCGTGATCCCGTCCCGCGCCGGTCTCTATTATAGAGCTTGGTCGATAACCTATTGCCAATTTCGGCTTTTTTGGCCCTGATCCCCATTTCAAAAAGTTATAGTGGTATTTTTTAGAAATCAGAGGGCGCTTATAAATAGTAGGTGACTTTGTTTCTAAGTTGACTCATAGGGAGGGTTCTCGTATTTTTATAAAATACACCTATATAATTCTAAATATTTTAAAGATTATTTTCGCCCTTCTCGTCAGCTAGTTAAAATACCGAACAATCCTAAAACAATGGAGGAAGTTCATTTTATTTATTTCTGGCTTCAGCGTCTATTCACTTCCACCTTTGAATATTCAGAATTTAATTCTGTTTTCAATCCTGAATTTATTAATTTAATTTTTGAAGAAAATAGCCAATATTTAAATATAAAAAGTGGAGTTTTGCAAGGGTTTGAGGCTAAAAATCAAATCAACGCAATTAATTTTGTAAAGGAATATTTAAAGAAGGACGATATAGAAAATTATAATAGACCTAGAGATAATAATTGGTTTATTAGATTTTCTTGAAAATTTCTTTTAAAAGACGTGTTTGTACATATGTATGAATTTTTAATTTTTTTAAATTTTTTTTTAAATTCTAAAAATACTCTAAATTTACTAATTTTTAAATAAAATACATATGTACATACATAGTAACTATTATAAATATTTTTTGAAAATTTATATTTTCTTTTTTACTGTTTTATTTTACATTTTTATCTTTTTAACGATTTTTGATTTTACGAAATAAAGGTTTCGATCATTTGGCATATTTCTCGTTTCTGACCATTTTTGGGATTTACCCTTTTGATATTTTTTTACGATGTTTTATTTCCGGGGGACACGCCCTCTTTGTCGCGGGCCACCTTGTCGCGACCACCTTGTCGCGACCACTTTGTCGCAGGCCACCTTGTCGCAGGCCCACCTTGTCGCAGGCCACTTTGTCGCAGGCTTTTTTTGTTTTTTATTTTTAGGTCGGCCTAAACTTTGTTCGCCATGTGCCGTGCTTAATCCCACTGCTACAACGATGGGAATTTTGAAAAGGTTGCGAATTTTTATTTTGTTTTTTAAGTTTTTATTTCTTTTTTTTAATTTTTAGTTGATTTCCGCCAGTTTCTGACTGGCGATTTCAAGTTCGCAGTTTCTAGGGAACGAAGGTGTTGAAATTAGGAGAACATCGACAAGAAAAACAAACCCAAACAACCAAACAAATAAATATGTAAAGCGCGACAATGGTCCTTTTTCAATCTTTTTGATAAAGTTTTTAAGTGTTTTTCCTTTTATTATTTTCTCTTATCCTTTTAACAGAGTAAAACCTATCCAAATTACTCCAGAAAACCCCGATCGTCCCAGGTCTTTTTCCTACCTTCCTCCATAGCGGCATAAAAAAATTTTAACCTTTGCGACAAAGTGGCCTGCGACAAGGTGGCCTGCGACAAAGTGGTCGCGACAAGGTGGTCGCGACAAGGTGGCCCGCGACAAGGTGGGCCGTACCCATTTCCGGGACGCCCAAATAGGCGCGCGGCCATAACGGCGCAAATCCCCAACTCGCTGGAAAATTTCTGGCCGGTATAAATTTTGGTACCAATCTCTTTAGCTCGATGAGAGGAATCGTTTAATACTAAATTTGATAAGATTCGGAAATCTTGAGGCAAGTTATGGCTTTGCGCCGTTATGGCCGCGCGCCTATTTGGGCTTTACCCTTTATTTTCGATGAATGGTCCATCCGCTGACGAAATTCGATGGATTACTCCACAATCCTTTTCTGGATTTAGTCCAGTTCTATACCTTATCTTATTGTCCCTTGCAATTTTATTTTAATTTTAGTTTTGTTGGTTAGTGAAAGTAAAAAAATGATTTCTCGTCGTGGCCTTGCTTCTGTAGCTGCAGCTTATGCAAAGCCAAATCCTCTTGTTGAGCCAATTCAACAGAAAACTTCACGTCTCCCTAATGGCATGACAATATCATCTGTCGATCTTCAGGTTTTCTTTAAAATATTCTCATCCATTTTATCCCTTAATGTTTACTCTTTAAGGGTGCGGTATCTCAACTTGTTTTCGCTTTTCGTTCTGGTTCACGCTATCAACAGCCAGATGAGGGAGGCGTTGCCCATATGTTACGTAATTGTATTGGAAGTGATTCTGATAATTATTTGGGTCTTCGACTTCTTTGGCAAACTGCACAGACTGGAGCCAATTTATTTTCTAAATTGTCCAAAGATTTGCTTTGTGTACAAATGAGCGTGGTTTGTTTTATTTTTTAATTTAATAAATTTTTAAAGAATCGTACACAAGCACCAATTGCTCTTTCTGTTCTTGGGGAAATTGTGCAGCCAGCAATTAAGCCTTGGGATATTTTTGAGGTTCATAAAGGATTAGAAATTGATTTGGAACATCAAACGGCCGAGGATATTACTTTCGAGAATTTACATAGAGCTGCTTTCAGGTTTTTTAAATTTTATTCAAGTAAAAGTCGGCCAAGTAAAGGGCGGAATCGTTTTTTCATTACCTACAAGGAAAGGAAAAATGGAGACGAACGGACTGTCCGAGTCCGTCCAGACAAAACACGGACGGGCTTGGTCAAACGAAACACGGACGGACTCAGGTCAGAGTCCGTATTTGTTCTGACCCGAGTCCGTCCATGTTTTGTTTGTCCGTATCCATCCGTCGCATTTTTCCTTTCCTTGCAGGTAATGACAAAAAACGATTCCGCCCTTCCTTTGGGATAGGGTCAGTGATTCTATCATCCAAAAAATTTTAAATTAAATTGTTGAGTTTTAGAGATTCCATGGGCATGTTTAACCTTGTCTATCAGATATTTCGTTTTTTCATTTGATAAAATTAAATATAGGAATGGCTCTCTTGCAAATCAACTTCTCTGTAAATCCTACGAAATTGGTTCGGACACAAATGTTGGACATAAAAGATTGCAATCTTATGTTCTTTCTCGTTGGAAGAGTGCTGAAACAGCTTTGATTGGCGTTAATATTGACCATTCTCTTTTATTGGAATATGCGGTTAAATTTAAATATTTTTATCAGAATTATGTTTAAATTTAAGGCAGATCATCGTGTAGTCCCGGACGGGGCTGGCCATCCAGCCAATCCAAGTCCTTTCTTAGGTGGCGAAGTTCGTCAATTCGGACCTGGAAAGTTAGCACATATTGCAATAGTGGGTGAGGGAGCCGCCTTTAAAGATGAAAAAGCTGTTGCAATTCAATCTGTTCTTGCTCAGTTGATTGGCAAAACAGGTTCTAATATTAAAAAAAATATTTAAAAAAATCTTCTCTTGACTATTTCGTATTTTCGATTGATTTACATATTGCACCCAGGCCTGTAGCTCTTGCGTGCCTGATTGCACATAAAAATAAAAAATGGTGAAATGTAAAATGGGTCACTAGACGACACTATTACCCATTTTATTTTTTTGTCAATTTTATTTTGAAGAATTTTTCTCATGAGATTAAGGAAATTCCTTGCTACAAGGCTCTGACTTTCTTATTTATAAAATCGGAATTTTAGATTTACTCTTGCACATTTTTTATTTTCATTTAAAAATATTTTTCTTTATTTTTTAAGGTCAATATACAAACTATCAAAATATTGCACAGCCATCAATTGTTCATCGAACTCTTTTCAAAGCAGCGAATCACAATCCTTTCCATTTATCTCAAGTGAATATTTCTCATTCAGATATTGGACTTGTTGGTTTTTATCTCGTTGCGGAAGGCGAAAAGGTTCTGAAAACAAATAAAATTGTGATATTTGTTATTTTTAGATTTTCCCGTATGTTAAAGCAGCTGTTCAAGGGCTTCGTGAACTTGCTGAAAAAACTGTTGATCAGGAACTTATTCAGGTTTTTTGAATTTTAATTAGCCTAATTTTAAGGTGGGATTAATGGTAGTTCCTTAAACTTTGCGTTTATAATTCGAGGGAAAACCTTAGGCGTTGATTTAAATTAGAGTAGCACGAGACCGGTTAATGGCCTCGTTTATTTTTCCCTGTGACGGATCAAAAAGAGAAGGGAAAAGAGGAAGAAGGACTCGCCACAAAGAAAAATAAACGAGATCATTAACCTGTCTCGTGCTACTCTAATTTAAATCTTATTTCCTTTTCCTAAATAAAAAGTTTTTCTTGCCGTTAAAAGGCCCAAAATTTTTTATTTTTAAAAAATTTAGATAGCCAAACAAACTTTGGCTTTGCAAACTTTAAGCAAGTTTGACTCAAGTGAATTGTTGGCACTGGATCAAGCTTCTCAAGTTATGGCTAAAGGCGCAGCTCAATCACCAGAAGAGTTTGTAAATATTGTGCAGAGTGTTACTGCTGAGGATATTAAAAAAGTAAAAATTAAATTTTAAAGAAAATTTTTATTTTAAAATATTTTAAGGCGGCAACTAAACTTTGTGCAAAACTTGCTTTATCTGCTTATGGACAAATTAATCAAACTCCCTATTTGGACGAAATTTAAAAATAGCGAAAAATAAAGGACAAAAAAGTTTTCTCTCAATCTTTTGATTTTAGGCTGTTGTATAACTTTTTCTCTTAAAAATAGGAAAATTGTTTTGGTTATTTCTTGTTTTTGCTTTAATTTACTGAAATTTGTTTGAGAAATATAAGGTTGGGAATTATATATTTGTGTAGATTTTTTAAGCTTGGTAACAGGGTTGCCGTTTCTGAGTCGGGCCGACGGTCGAGGCATTTTTCGGACTTGTGTTTTATCGAGTCGGGCATGTACGAGTCTTTTTCGGGCCAAATATCTTATGCCCGACTCGATCTTTCGGTCCGATTGGGCCACCATGGCAACCCTAATTGGTAATGTGGAAGTCAGATTTTAATAAAAAGTTTCTAAGATGTGGTTAACTAACAATCAAATATTTCTATGCTTAATGAAACTAGCCAAAAATAAAGAAATAACCCCATTTTATCGAATACAATACACACAAACAAATATACATAACAATATTACAATTCAGAACAATTAGACAAATATTTATTTAGGCCTCATGATCTGTATTTTCGTTTGCAGTACCAGCTTCGCTACCCAACTGGGCATCTCTAATTTTTCTCTTCATCGCGTTGCTCTGTCCTGCACGGTCAATTCTGAAGTAATATGGTTGGCCTTCATCGGGAATGATTTCTAATTCATAGTGGAAGCGAACATATGTGTTGGTGTACTGAAAAATAAGGAAATTTTAATTAGGCAAGAGTTAAGTCTACTTACGTAGCCAGTAATGAACGCAAAATACACAATGAAGATCATCGCCAGTATATACATGAGAATAGTGAGCAAACCCATTTTATTGTGATGAGGACAAAATTGGCAGCAGCGTTTGTTTAGATGAACACTGTAAAATGTTGAAAATTTTGTTTTTATAGTTTTGATTAACTATATAAGCCTTTGTAATTCCTCAACACTTTTATCCAAACAATCAACTCACCGTAACTACTTGGCCGTCAAGAATTTCGGATGCTGGTTTGTATAGAAATGGTGATTCTTGACATCTTCCTGTATATAACTATAATACTTCTCTTGCTGTTGTATGTGATTATTGTCTTTTGTGCCTTCACTCTTGGCTACGTGAGTGATAATTTTGAAATATTTCTCAACATTTTATACCTTTAAGGTGCTAAATACTCACTTGCGAGAGGAACACAAGCTCGAGTTCTTGTTTGATGCTATTGTTGTCGATGACGTACTGTATGAATTATACAGTAGAGAACGCTACATAATATAAAGGAACATGTCGAATTGCAGCACAAATTTAGGGAGAATGAGAGGAATAAAGAAATTTAAATAAAGAAATCTGTATAGATGAAGGATTGTTTTAGTGATAATTAAGTGATTTAACAAACGTTTTTTTTGTTTCTTGTAGTATGTATATTTAATATTGTGTTTGTGTTTCCTTTTACACTGTGGTGCAAAAGTTTATATACACTATGGAAAATTTTCTTTAATGTACCGTATCTCGAGAAGTCGAAGTTTTATCGAGATAATTTTTTTTTCGCCTAGTAGTTTAAAAAGTGCTCTTTCTAATAAGCCTTAGTTTTAAAAATAACCCCCAGTACTTATTGAGATATACACCATTTCCCAAACTGCTTCAATTTTCTTCGGTGCAAAAGTTTATATACACTTTACAAAAATTGGATTTTTAGAAAAACAAATGGCAGGAAAAATACAAAAAAAATTCTGTGAACATTTTCATCAATACTGAGTAGAAAATAAAAAAGAACGAAGTCCGTAACTGTTTTCATCATCGAGATCTCAAATAACTTAACATTCATCATCGAGATCTCAAATAACTTAACATTTTTAGTCAAAACCTTCCAAAATACCCCACATTTTTACTCATTTTTAATTTCACAGTAAGTTACCCACACGTAAATACTATACAGATTTTTTTTTACAAAAACGAGACCAATGGTATTTTGTAGCAAATTTTATGGGCTTTCTAATGAGCCCAAAAGAAAATTTTTATATAAGCCCTGGGGGGTTAAAATAATTTTTAAAGTACTGTACCCCGTTTTCCCGTTGATTTTTGTGATTTGAGATCTCGATGATGAAAACAGTTACGGACTTCGTTTTTTTTATTTTCTACTCAGTATTGATGAAAATGTTCACAGAATTTTTTTTGTATTTTTCCTGCCATTTGTTTTTCTAAAAATCCAATTTTTGTAAAGTGTATATAAACTTTTGCACCGAAGAAAATTGAAGCAGTTTGGGAAATGGTGTATATCTCAATAAGTACTGGGGGTTATTTTTAAAACTAAGGCTTATTAGAAAGAGCACTTTTTAAACTACTAGGCGAAAAAAAAATTATCTCGATAAAACTTCGACTTCTCGAGATACGGTACATTAAAGAAAATTTTCCATAGTGTATATAAACTTTTGCACCACAGTGTATGTTGAATCTAAAAATAAAATTTCCAGCTATTTTGGGGTTTCTTTAATTTCTGACGGTTTTATTACCATACATATCTTACTGAAAAATGGCTTTTGAGTGTCCGAGCCTAAGATATAGGGTTGCCAAAGACCGACTCATACCGAAGGATAGACTCTGGTCTAAGATATTTTGGCTCAAAAAAGACTCGTACATGCCCGGCTCGAGAAAAACAAGCCCGAAAAAATGCCTCGACCGTCAGCTCGACTCGGGAGCGGCAACCCTATTTTGGATATGATAAATTCTCATTTGAAGGATTTAGTAAAAAAAGCATAAAATTAGGTAATTAACTCCTAGTATATTTTTTAAAGAATTTATCTACCTATTTTTGTAAATATTCAAAAATTCCAATCCAAACTATTAATCATTCAACAAAATATTTTTGTCTACAAATACAAAGTTTTTTTAATAAAAAGTATAAGAAATTGCAGGTGGATGATCAGATAAAAGTTTTTATTTTTGAAAAAAATATTAGAGGAAGAAAGGGTGTCTTTACTACTAAAAAATTAAATAGATAAAAAAAACTTTGCGCTTTCTCCTTTAAATAAAAAATATATAAATTGTTAAAACAAAGGAATAAAATAAAATTAACATTTTTAGCTAGAAAGAGAGAGAAAATATTTTTAAAAAGTTGAAAGATCAAAAAAAATGTAAGAAAAAATAAAAATATTTTCTCATTATTTACAAAACACTTTGTTTAAAAACATTTTTTTAATTTTATTCATATTAAACTAACAACTAATTACTATACTTTAATTCCCCTTTTATGATTGGATAAAATAAAGGTTTGTTTTTCCTTTATTATCTAACAATTTAATCAAAAATTTATTTAAATAAAATACTCATCCCTCTCCCAGCATTTTTTTCATTCTACAAATATCTCCTAATATAAAATAAAAAATTTTTATTCTAAAATCATTTAAAAAATATTTACAGAAAAAATTTATTTATTTTTTAAATTAAAACTTTAATAATTAAATTTGAATTGAGTATTATAACATAAAGTTTTTGGATTTATTTTAAAATGTTTTATACATATGTATGTACCATCTACACATATTTACATTACTATTAATAAGGAATTCTGTGAAATTTTAGTTTTTAATAATAATTTATTTTTTAAATCTTATTTGCTTACTCTAAATTGTTTAATTATTTAAATATTTAATTTTGTTAAAAATACTCACAAATACGTACCTAACTATATTAAGTATATTATTTAGATATCAATAATTTTTCGTAATAATTAACTCGTAGATAAACTTAGATGTATACTACATCTATTTAAAAATTTTATTCACTCAGATTACCTTCACTTTAAAAATTTATTTAAATTAAAAGAATTTCTATTTTTCTGTAATAGAGAATTCGATAAATATTCGGCAAAATATAGTTAATATTTTTTGTAATTTAAATTATTATTAAAAAAATTTTTAGAAATAAATTTAAATAATCTAATTATTTAAGTTATATTATTTTTATTATGGCTCCAAATTCGGAAGGATTAAAAGTTAATTTAAATTTACGAAGTAATAATTTAAATTTAAATATTTTTGTAGAATGTATTAAATGAATTGGGAAATACTATCGAATTTCGAATTAATGGTATTCCTTATAATGTCGAAAATGTAATTTTATTTGGATAGAAAAAAAATTTAAAAAATTTAGGTCGAACCTGAAGTAACTGAAGAAATTTTTCAAGGATATAATGATTGGCAACGAGATAACAATCAAGATGTAAGTTAATAAACAATAATTTGGTTTTTTAAAAATTTTAACTTTTCCTAAATTAATTAATATTAGAAATTAATTTTAATTAAAAAAACTATTTTTAGAATAATCAAAACAATGAAAATAATGTTGTGGAGGGAAATGGACAAGAATTAGGTAAATAATTTGGTTGTATGTATGTTTTTAATAGTTTAATTTAAAATAAAAATATATTGAAATTTTAATTATTTTTAAATAAAAAAATATCTAAAAATACTTTCCATTAATGTTTTTATTAAATACATATTTTTCTAAATTTAGTAGCAATTGAACAAGGAAATGGTAATGATAATGCTGGTGATCCTGCAGATGAACCAGAAGAAAATGTAAATTTAAATTATTTAAATGTTTAAAGGTCTTACCGTTCATTCTAAATTAATTGTTCATGGCAATAATTATTTCGCTTAGTTGAAGTGGTAGGGGTGGAATAAAGAGAGAGGGAGTGAGCAATTAATTAAGAAAATTTAATAAAGTAAAATTAAATATTTATTTAGATTGGATTTGAAAATTTGACAATTGATGAAAAATTGGGTAAAATATTTATGGAATGCCGAAAATTGAAAAAAGAAGTAAAGGAATGCAAAAAGACAATTAAAACACTTAAGTCGGATATAAGCAAATTAGAGAGTGAAAATAATAAAATAAATGAAGAAAAAGAAGAATTATATAAGAATTTTTGCAAAACAAATGCGGCATGTATAAAATATAAAAAGGGCACAAACACAGGGTTCGGTTCTTTTATTGGAGGTGGTTTTGCGGTTGTTATACCTCTTCTTCTGAAATACATTGGTGTGGCAAGCTTGTTTAGTTTTCCTGTGGGTGGCCAGATGTATGTGGGATTTACAATTTTTGGCGGAGTGGTAGGTGGAATTATTGGAAGGATGTGTACTAGTAATAAGCCAAAAATTTCAATCAAAAAATAATTTTGGGGATAAAAAATAAATTATTTTTTCTAAAATAATTTTATTCTTGAGATTTTTGGCATATTTTAAATAAAATCAAACATTATCTAAATTTTAAGAATATTTTTCTCTTATTTAAAGATTAATTTATAATTTTTTAAAAATGAATTTTTAATTTAATTCCAATTTATCATGTTTTTTCTGTTATTTTAAAAATTAATTAATACATCTATTTACTAAAATAATTTTTAACAAACAAAATCTTCATGCTTTTATTATTTAAGTATTCTTGCTTTTTTAAATTTTAATTACTTTTTAAGAAATTTCGTATTTATTTTTAAATAATTAAACCACCACTATACATACCAGAGTTAGGTCGGAATTTCGATTTCCGACGTTTTCTCATTTCCGATTTCCGAAAAAAATTTTGATTTCGATTTCTGAGTTCCGACTTTTGAGCCAGTTCCGATTTCCGGCTCTTCCGATTTCCGACCCATTTCGGACTGTTCCGACCCACTTCTGATACATACATAATATTTCTTCTAAAGTATAATTCACCCACAAAAGAATTTTCGGAAAAAGGAAAAAAATTTTGAGTGTTAGAGATATTTTGACCTTTTTTAAGGTCAAAACAAGCTTTTTTCCCCCTTTAAAATAAATCGTAAAAAATCTCCAAATAAATTTTAGAAGAAATAGTATGTATGTTAAAATATAAATGGAATTATGTTACTTACATATATCAATTAATTTTAAAATTAATAATAATTATTATTCTAATTAATTTATGTTTAAATTTCATTAATAATATTTTAAAAATATTTTATATTTCAAGAAAAATATTAAACAACAAATTTAAGCTAATATTTTATTCAGTCCAGATTTCATATATACTTCATTTTTTTCATAATAAATATGGAGGAACAGGAAGGTTAAATTTGAATTTAAAATTTCTAATTTTTAAAATCAAAATTTTGGAAATTTTTTATCATAATATAAGAAGTTTATTATATTAAAAATAGTTTAATAAAATTTAATAATTATAGAAACAATTGAAGTACTTAAAAAGAAGATTGCAGAGAAGGAACATATTATTACGGTTTTGGAGCTAAAAAGACTTGAAGGAGAAGAAGTCCTTAATCAATTAGAAAATGAGAAAGAAGAACTTGAAGAGCTTAATAAAAAGATGAAAAAAGCTTTAAAGAAGGAAGCTAAACGAAGATTCGCAATTATTCGTTATGGTCTTTTCGGAGCTTTTTTGTGTAGTTATAGCTATTGCTTCTATATGCTACATAAAAATAACAAAGAAAAAGATATTCTACCAAATTACATATTGCTTATTGGAGGAGGAATGTTTGGAACAATTATTAGATTTGTAAAATATGAATGATAAGAAAAATAATAATGTTTTTGTATTTTAATAATTATTTTAGTTGAATAAATAAAAACATTTTAATTTTTAATAAATTGTAAAAATTATTTTTTCTAAAGGTTTAAAATTAAAATAATTTATTAGGGAACGATCAAAATTATTTTTAAGAGAGTTTTAAGAAATTATCAAACTAACTGAAAATTAACTGTTTAATTTAAAAATTATTGTTCTAAATTAAAAGAAAAAATTCAATAATGTTGAAAAATTTTTGATTTTGAATATATAAATTAGAAAATTTAAATTTGATTGTAATTTGATTTAGGAAATAATATTTTTATATCCTGTAAATTGTGTAAAAACATACGATGAAAGCTTTCTAAACATTTCCTTAGTCCTCAATTGGCATATTTCTATTACATATGTATTATTTAGAAAATTCGAATTAGGGGGGGGGGGGTATTTATAAAGTTTTTGTTATTTTCTGGATATTTATTGAACTTTTTTCCTTCTATTTTTATTCAAATAAAATTTTTGACGGAATTTGTTTGTGGTTAAAAGATAATTTTTCGTTTGTGGAAATCCTTTCTTTTAAATAATTGATAAAAAATTTTCATTTAAAATAAATTTATTCAAAAAATTAATTTTTATATTTATTTTATTGGAATTTAAATTTTTATAAATAAACTATAACTTATATAAAAAACCTATAACTTATATGTCTAAATGATACCCTGTATTTTTATAACCAAATTTCATATAGTGAATTTTTTTCAGCACCAATAAGCTATTTGAGGTTTGACTATATGAAAATCATCTTCATTTAATTCATTTGAGGCAGCCTTTATTGTTCTTATGTAAGCTCAAAGCAGAAACGAGAATGAGATTATGAGCATTAAATTTGGATTAAAATAAGCGGTTGCTGATTTGAAAATCAAATTTTTAAAGGACATTTCTTCTCATTACTCATTTAATCAAAATATTTAAAACACAAAAATTTTAATAAAAGTTGCAGGTGGAAGATTGGAAAAAGGAATAAATATTTTTTGAATAAAAAATAGAAAAAAACATTTTAAAACATTTTATGTAAATTAAGGTGAAAGATTAAAATATAATTTAAAAAAAGAATTATTCACACAATTTTATGTAAAAGTTAAAACAATCCTTCTCACATACCGATATTATCTTTTAAATAAACTAGCTGTGCCCATTGAGGTGATGGCGGTAAGTTACGTATGCAATTCCTATTAGGATACTCTGGCGGTAAAATTTTGTTTTGCCCGTTGGAAAGCCTAACGGCTTTGGGGCGCGCTTCGCGCGCTGCTAGAAACATTAGATTTGCCCTGCCTTTTCATCGCCCTGCCTTTTCATTGCTTCGGGCCTTCGGCCCTCGCCGATAAAGATCAGCCCTGCCTTTTCATTGCTTCGGGCCTTCAGCCTCGCCGATAAAGTTATGCCCTGCCTTTTCATTGCTTCGGGCCTTCGGCCCTCGCCGATAAAGTTATGCCCTGCCTTTTCATTGCTTCGGGCCTTCGGCCCTCGCCGATAAAGTTATGCCCTGCCTTTTCATTGCTTCGGGCCTTCGGCCCTCGCCGATAAAGTTATGCCCTGCCTTTTCATTGCTTCGGGCCTTCGGCCCTCGCCGGCAAAGATTAGCCCTGCCTTTTCATTGCTTCGGGCCTTCGGCCCTCGCCGATAAAGATCAGCCCTGCCTTTTCATTGCTTCGGGCCTTCGGCCCTCGCCGGCAAAGATTAGCCCTGCTTTTTCATTGCTCCGGGCCTTCGGCCCTCGGCGGTAAAGTTATGCCCTGCCTTATCATTGCTCCGGGCCTTCGGCCCTCGCCGGCAAAGTTATGCCATGCCTTTTAATTGCTTCGGGCCTTCGGCCCTCGCCGGCAAAGTTTGGCCCTGCCTTTTCATTGCTTCGGGCCTTTGGCCCTCGCCGGCAAAGTTATGCCATGCCCCCAAACCCCCCACAACCAAAATAGCCGACAAACTCCTCGGCCTTCGGCCTCGGAGTGCTCGGGCCTTCGGCCCTCACACAGCGGGCCTCCGGCCCGCCGTTTGGGGGCCTTCGGCCCCCAAACCCCCCACAACCAAAATTTCGATCTTTTGTACTGCTCGGGCCTTCGGCCCGAGCGTTGCTTCGGGCCTCCGACCCTCGCCACAAACTCCTCGGCCTTCGGCCTCGGAGTGCTCGGGCCTTCGGCCCTCGCACGGCGGGCCTCCGGCCCGCCGTTTGGGGGCCTTCGGCCCCCAAACCCCCCACAACCAAAATTTCGATCTTTTGTACTGCTCGGGCCTTCGGCCCGAGCGTTGCTTCGGGCCTCCGGCCCTCGCCGCAAACTCGCTCGGCCTTCGGCCTCGGAGTGCTCGGGCCTTCGGCCCTCGCACGGCGAGCCTCCGGCCCGCCGTTTGGGGGCCTTCGGCCCCCAAACCCCCCACAACCAAAATTTCGATCTTTTGTACTGCTCGGGTTTTTTTCAAAGTAAAAAATTTCAAAGTATAACACTTTGAAATTTTCATCCGGTCGTTTCAGTGCCTGAAGCAAAAATGTGAAGCAGAAGCATGCTTCTGCTTCGGATCCGGTCGTTTCAGTGCCTGAAGCAAAAATGTGAAGCAGAAGCATGCTTCTGCTTCGGATCCATAACAGGATCCAGCTTATCACCCCACAAAATTTTTCCCAATATACAAAATTCACCCCTAAGTTCTTCGCCGGTTTGCCCGGCATGGTCAGAGACGGAGAAAAATTTCTCCTCTCTTCCTTACATTTGACCTGTCAATCATTTTTCTTCCCTCTCTCCCATCATTCTCCGGGTACTGTACTCAGCCCCACAAATTTTCGAAGCTCTGTACATTCGTCAAAATGTACCGAAAAAGTTCGAAAAAAATATTTTTATATCCAGCTCGATGAGAGCTTTCGATAGATATCTCATTTGCCCTATTTATACCCACTTTGAAAAAATATTTTTTTCGGCCGAGAATTTCAGCCGAAAAAAATCACTGAAATTTTTAAAAAATCATATCTCGCCCAAAGTAAACCTTTTTTAAAAATTTTAAAATTCTATAAGATGCAGAAAATTCTGCTCTATCCAAGAAAAATACTTTTTTTTGAACGGGGTGGGGACAAAATTTTGGAATTTTGACCTATAAAATATCCTATATGGTACTATGACATGCGCTGAATCCATATCCGGTGTCAGAAAAATTCTAAAAAATTTTTCAAAAAAGTTATAGTCCAAAAAAGTTTCGCGACATTTGCGAACATTGGCCATAACTTTTTCAGACTCAAACAGACCCCCGACATATTATACCTTTTTCGGAGCCACTAAGCTCCCCTCATTATTTGCTCTTGAATGATTACTCATTCGACCGTACTTCCCAATCCCGAAAATCCCGGATTTCGAAGTTCGAACTCCGAACTTCGACTTTCAGCTTGATCCTTTATCCCACTAAGTTCCCCTCATTATCCCCTCTTGAATGAGTACTCATTCGACACCACTTCCCAATCCCGAAAATACCGGATTTCGAAGTTCGAACTCCGAACTTCGACTTTAGGCTTAATCCCTTATCCCATTAGACTCCCCTCAGTCCCAGCTCTTGAATGACTACCCACTCACCCATATCCCCCAACCTCGTAAATCCCGGATTTCGAAGTTCGAACGCGAAACTTCGAATTTAGACTTTATCTTTTATCCAGATAGACTCCCCTGATAATCCCCTCTTGAATGACTACACACTTGCGAATATCCCCAAACCCCGAAAATCCCGGATTTCGAAGTTCGAACACCGAACTTCGAATTTCGACATTATCCCTTATCCCATTAGACTCCCCTCATTATCCCCTCTTGAATGAATACTCATTCGACCATGCTTCCCAATCCCGAAAATACCGGATTTCGAAGTTCGAACTCCTAACTTTGACTTTCATACTTATCCCTTATCCCATTAGACTCCCCTAATTATCCCCTCTTGAATGACTACCCACTCATCCACATCCACAAATCCCGAAAATCCCGGATTTCGAAGTTCGACTTCGAAATTGGACTTTAATCCTTATCCTTTATCCCTTTAGACTCCCCTCACTCCCAGCTCTCGATTGACTACCCACTCACCCATATCCGAAAAACCCGGATTTCGAAGTTCGAACTCCAACTTCGACTTTTATACTTATCATATATCCCATTCAACTCCCCTCATTATTCGCTTTCGAATGACTACTCATTCGACCATATTCGAAAATCCCTAAAAATCCCGAAATCCCGGATCCCTAATTTCGAAATCCCCATATAATTCCCCCCAACTAACCTTCACTCAACTCGAAACTTGCTTAAGTTTCGAAATCCAAAAATTTAAACTCGAAATTTCTTCCCATCAATCAAAATTTCTCTCTCAACTATGAGATTTGCCCCCTGGCTTTCCTCAATTTAGAGAAATCCGACAGTTATCGGTAAGACAATTTTCTTACAAAAATTTTTGCCCCCCTATAAGTACCCCTAAAGTTCGAATTTTGAATTTGAAATTTTTCCTACCTATATCTACCTGTTCTAACTTAATTTCCTACCAGCAGAAATTTTCCGCTAGCTTTATCCGTTTTCGAGTTATTTTCGAAAAACTCGAATTTTAAATACCGACACATGCGACAATTCACCGGAAATGTCTGAATTTTGTGTCAAGCATAAGTACCCTCCAAATTCGAATTTCGACTTTGAGTTTTTTCCTACATATATTAGCTTGGTCCAACTTAAAATCCTACCAGCAGAAATTTTCCTCTAAGTCCACTCAGTCCCGAGATATCCCCGGTACCTCTATTATTTAGGTACCATGGGGTTCCTCAAATCTTCCGTCCATAATTTTCCTAGGTGCGGCATAAAATTTGACCCCGGACATGTAAAACTTTCATACCCGTATCTATACTCTGGAAAGAGCTTGAGTTTTTCCGACAAATTTTACCAATACTTTTATATAATATATTAAACTAGCGATGGGTTTGGCCACTGGAATGCCTATTACGACACTGTGGCGGTTAAATTTTGCTCTGGGTTTTAATTTGGCTCTGCCCGTTGGAAAGCCTAACGGCTTTGGGGGCGCGCTTCGCGCGCCGCTAGCGATTTTTTATGCCTGGTTCAATTTACTTAATATTTTTATATCTTTAAGTTTATTATTTATTTTTTAAATTAGGTATATTTTTTTTATTTTCGAAAAATAATAATTAAACTATTTACAAAAAAAATTTTAATAAAATTTAGACTCCCGTTTGTACCGTGCTTAGCCATTGTTTTACAACAATGCCCAGAGTACACCACGTGGAGGTGCACGGCGGTAAACGGGCAAACCCTGTACTCCTGGGGAGGGGGGACGGAGAAGAGGGGCAGCGGCAAGGGGGGACAGTGGCTTATATTTATATTTAAAATAAATTTACAACCCTTAACACGAAAGGGAGGGGGATTACAACCCTTAACACGAAAGGGAGGGGAATTACAACCCTTAACACGAAAGGGAGGGGGATTACAACCCTTAACACGAAAGGGAGGGGAGGAGTTACAACCCTTAACACGAAAGGGAGGGGGATTACAACCCTTAACACGAAAGGGAGGGGATTACAACCCTTAACACGAAAGGGAGGGGATGAGATACAACACTTTACAAGCAAAAAACGTAAGAAGTTACAACCCTTAACACGAAAGGGAGGGGAATTACAACCCTTAACACGAAAGGGAGGGGAATTACAACCCTTAACACGAAAGGGAGGGGAATTACAACCCTTAACACGAAAGGGAGGGGAATTACAACCCTTAACACGAAAGGGAGGGGAGACGAAACATCTCTTAACACGAAAGAGGTTCGTCAGGAGGAAATTGGGGGTAGAGGCGAAACATCTCTTAACACGAAAGAGAATCATCGCAGGACCGATCAATGAGGCATATTAGAACCTTAATTAAGAAGAAGGTGGTACGTCCCTTAACACGAAAGGGGAATCATCACCGAAAAATAAGGAGAGGAGGTGGTACGTCCCTTAACACGTTAGAGGAATCCTCACCAAAAAATAAGGAGAGGAAGGTGTACGTCCCTTAACACGAAAGGGGAATTATCACCAAAAAATAAGGAAAGGAAGGTGGTACGTCCCTTAACACGAAAGGGGAATCATCACCAAAAATAAGGCAGTACATCCCTAAACACAAAAGGGAAATCAATGCCAAATAATAAAAAAAACGGTACTATAAAATCAATTCACAAAAAATTACTTAGGGTTGAGTGTTTAGTTATGACAATAAGTAGTGACAATCGTACTAAGTGACAATCGTACTAATAAGTTATGACAATCGTACACAAGCACCAATTGCTCTTTCTGTTCTTGGGGAAATTGTGCAGCCAGCAATTAAGCCTTGGGATATTTTTGAGGTTCATAAAGGATTAGAAATTGATTTGGAACATCAAACGGCCGAGGATATTACTTTCGAGAATTTACATAGAGCTGCTTTCAGGTTTTTTAAATTTTATTCAAGTAAAAGTCGGCCAAGTAAAGGGCGGAATCGTTTTTTCATTACCTACAAGGAAAGGAAAAATGGAGACGAACGGACTGTCCGAGTCCGTCCAGACAAAACACGGACGGGCTTGGTCAAACGAAACACGGACGGACTCAGGTCAGAGTCCGTATTTGTTCTGACCCGAGTCCGTCCATGTTTTGTTTGTCCGTATCCATCCGTCGCATTTTTCCTTTCCTTGCAGGTAATGACAAAAAACGATTCCGCCCTTCCTTTGGGATAGGGTCAGTGATTCTATCATCCAAAAAATTTTAAATTAAATTGTTGAGTTTTAGAGATTCCATGGGCATGTTTAACCTTGTCTATCAGATATTTCGTTTTTTCATTTGATAAAATTAAATATAGGAATGGCTCTCTTGCAAATCAACTTCTCTGTAAATCCTACGAAATTGGTTCGGACACAAATGTTGGACATAAAAGATTGCAATCTTATGTTCTTTCTCGTTGGAAGAGTGCTGAAACAGCTTTGATTGGCGTTAATATTGACCATTCTCTTTTATTGGAATATGCGGTTAAATTTAAATATTTTTATCAGAATTATGTTTAAATTTAAGGCAGATCATCGTGTAGTCCCGGACGGGGCTGGCCATCCAGCCAATCCAAGTCCTTTCTTAGGTGGCGAAGTTCGTCAATTCGGACCTGGAAAGTTAGCACATATTGCAATAGTGGGTGAGGGAGCCGCCTTTAAAGATGAAAAAGCTGTTGCAATTCAATCTGTTCTTGCTCAGTTGATTGGCAAAACAGGTTCTAATATTAAAAAAAATATTTAAAAAAATCTTCTCTTGACTATTTCGTATTTTTGATTGATTTACATATTGCACCCAGGCCTGTAGCTCTTGCGTGCCTGATTGCACATAAAAATAAAAAATGGTGAAATGTAAAATGGGTCACTAGACGACACTATTACCCATTTTATTTTTTTGTCAATTTTATTTTGAAGAATTTTTCTCATGAGATTAAGGAAATTCCTTGCTACAAGGCTCTGACTTTCTTATTTATAAAATCGGAATTTTAGATTTACTCTTGCACATTTTTTATTTTCATTTAAAAATATTTTTCTTTATTTTTTAAGGTCAATATACAAACTATCAAAATATTGCACAGCCATCAATTGTTCATCGAACTCTTTTCAAAGCAGCGAATCACAATCCTTTCCATTTATCTCAAGTGAATATTTCTCATTCAGATATTGGACTTGTTGGTTTTTATCTCGTTGCGGAAGGCGAAAAGGTTCTGAAAACAAATAAAATTGTGATATTTGTTATTTTTAGATTTTCCCGTATGTTAAAGCAGCTGTTCAAGGGCTTCGTGAACTTGCTGAAAAAACTGTTGATCAGGAACTTATTCAGGTTTTTTGAATTTTAATTAGCCTAATTTTAAGGTGGGATTAATGGTAGTTCCTTAAACTTTGCGTTTATAATTCGAGGGAAAACCTTAGGCGTTGATTTAAATTAGAGTAGCACGAGACCGGTTAATGGCCTCGTTTATTTTTCCCTGTGACGGATCAAAAAGAGAAGGGAAAAGAGGAAGAAGGACTCGCCACAAAGAAAAATAAACGAGATCATTAACCTGTCTCGTGCTACTCTAATTTAAATCTTATTTCCTTTTCCTAAATAAAAAGTTTTTCTTGCCGTTAAAAGGCCCAAAATTTTTTATTTTTAAAAAATTTAGATAGCCAAACAAACTTTGGCTTTGCAAACTTTAAGCAAGTTTGACTCAAGTGAATTGTTGGCACTGGATCAAGCTTCTCAAGTTATGGCTAAAGGCGCAGCTCAATCACCAGAAGAGTTTGTAAATATTGTGCAGAGTGTTACTGCTGAGGATATTAAAAAAGTAAAAATTAAATTTTAAAGAAAATTTTTATTTTAAAATATTTTAAGGCGGCAACTAAACTTTGTGCAAAACTTGCTTTATCTGCTTATGGACAAATTAATCAAACTCCCTATTTGGACGAAATTTAAAAATAGCGAAAAATAAAGGACAAAAAAGTTTTCTCTCAATCTTTTGATTTTAGGCTGTTGTATAACTTTTTCTCTTAAAAATAGGAAAATTGTTTTGGTTATTTTTTTTGTTTTTGCTTTAATTTACTGAATTTGTTTGAGAAATATAAGGTTGGGAATTATATATTTGTGTAGATTTTCTAAGCTTGGTGATAGGGTTGCCGTTTTTGAGCCGAGCCGACGGTCGAGGCATTTTTTCGGACTTGTGTTTTATCGAGTCGGGCCTGTACGAGTCTTTCGGGCCAAATATTTTAGGCCCTACACGATCTTTCGGTCCGATTGGGCCATCTTGGCGAAGTCAAATTTTAATAAAAAGTTTCTAAAATGTGGTTAACTAACAATACAATAATTTCCTATGCTTAATGAAACTAGCCAAAAATAATGAAATAACCCCATTTTATCGAATACAATACACAGACAAATATACATAAACAATATTACAATTTAGAACAATGAGACAAATATTTATTTAGGCCTCATGATCTGTATTTTCGTTTGCAGTACCAGCTTCGCTAGCCAACTGGGCATCTCTAATTTTTCTCTTCATCGCGTTGCTCTGTCCTGCACGTTCAATTCTGAAGTAATAAGGTTGGCCTTCATCGGGAATGATTTCTAATTCATAGTGGAAGCGAACATATGTATTGGTGTACTGAAAATAAGGAAATTTTAACTAGGCAAAAGTTAGGTCTACTTACGTAGCCAGTGATGAACGCAAAATACACAATGAAGATCATCGCCAGTATATACATGAGAATAGTGAGCAAACCCATTTTATTGTGATGAGGACAAAATTGGCAATAATGATTGTTTAGATGAACATTATAAAATGTTGAAAATTTTTGTTTTTATAGTTTTAATTAACTATAAAAGCCTTTATAACTTCTGAACACGTTTATCCAAACAATCAACTCAACGTAAGTACTTGGCCGTCAAGAATTTCGGATGCTGGTTTGTATAGAAATGGTGATTCTGGACATCTTCCTGTATATAACTATAATGCTTCTCTTGCTGTTGTATGTGATTATTGTGTTTTGTGCCTTCACTCTTGGCTACGTGAGTGATAATTGTTTTTAATTATTTCTCATTTTTTTGCCTTCAAGGTGCTAAATACTCACTTGCGAGAGGAACACAAGCTCGAGTTCTTGTTTGATGCGATTGTTGTCGACGACGTACTGTATGAATTATACAGTAGAGAACGCTACATAATATAAAGGAACATGTCGAATTGCAGCACAAAGTTAGGGAGAATGAGAAGAATAAAGAAATTTAAATAAAGAAATATGTAAATAAGAAGGATTGTTTTAGTGATAATTGGGTGATTTACAAACGTTTTTTTGTTTCTTGTAGTATATTTAGTATTGTGTTTGTATTTCCTTTTATGTTGAATCTAAAAATAAATTTTCCAACTATTTTGGGGTTTCTTTAATTTTTAACGGTTTTATTACATTTTAGCATCCATATTAGTATTTCACCTGAACCGAAATTTTGACTGGGACCGGATCCAATTTGAATTCCGGAACCGGAACTTTTCTAAGTTCTTGCCCAGAACCGGAACTAAAAAACACCGGAACTTCCGGTGAAAATCTAATCTCTATTTTACTGAAAAATGGCTTTTGAATGGGCGGAGCCTAGATTTGAGAGTGTCCGAGCCTAAGATATAGGGGTTGCCAAAGACCGACTCATACCAAAGGATAGAGTAGTGCCTAAGATATTTTGGCCAGAAAAAGACTCGTACAGGCCCGGCTCGATAAAAACAAGCCCTAAAAAATGCCTCGATCGTCAGCTCGACTCGAAAGCGGCAACCCTGATAAATTCTCATTTAAAGGATTATGTGATAAAAAACATAAAATTAGGTAATTAACTCCTAGTATATTTTTTTTTAATAATTTATCTAATTTTGTAAATATTCAAAAAATTCCAATCCAAACTATTAATCATTCAACAAAATATTTTTGTCTACAAATTGCAGGTGGATGATCAGATAAAAACTTTTTTTGAAAAAAAAATATTAAAAGAAAAAAGGATGTTTTTACATACTACTAAAAAAACTTTTTGCTTTCTCCTTTAATAAAAAAATGTAAATTGTTAAAAGAAATAAATAAAATTAACATTTTTAGCTAGAAAGAGAGAAAATAATTTTAAAAAGTTGAAAGATCAAAAAAATGTAAGAAAAAATAAAACATTTTGTCATTATTTACAAAACACTTTGTTTAAAAAATTTCTCTAATTTTATTTGTATTAAACTAACAACTAATTACTATACTTTAATTCCCCCTTTTGTGATTGGATAAAATAAAGGTTTATTTTCCTTTATTATCTAACAATTTAATCAAAAATTTATTTAAATAAAATACTCATCTCTCTCCCAACATTTTTTTCATTATACAAATATCTGCTAATAAATTAAAATAATTTATTTTTTATTTTAAAACCATTTAAAAATATATAGAATATTTTTAAAAACTAGAACTTTTTAATAATTTTATTTCCTCAAATTACCTTCCACTATATTCATAAAAATTACATATTTTGACTTAATTTAAATTTAAAAAATTCTTTAATTTTTTTAAAATATAGGACAGAGAATTTGATAAATATTCAGTAATTTATAGTAATATCTTTTGTGATTTAATTGTAATTTTTATTTTTAAATACAAATTAAAACAATTTTTTGTACTTTTCCGTTATACGACCGCAACTGAGTGACAGTCAACTTTAAACAGCAATAACTTTTTGATGCTTGGTCCAATACAAATAAATTTTATATCATTCAAAAGCCCTCGAAAGCTCCATACTTTTTCTGAGAGGGTAGATCAGGTCTGATCACTCATTAAAGAGTTATAACCGATAAGTTATTTTGTGTTTTTCACATTCATCGAGTTATAACTTTTTAGTTGCTGATCAGACCTGATCCATCAAGTCGGAAAAAAGATGAGCTTATCGAGGGCTTTCGAATGATATAAAATTCATTTGTATAGAACTAAGCATTAAAAAGTTATAGCTATTTAAAGTCGAATGGTAGTCGTATAACGGAAAAGTACCCAATTTTTAAAAATAATTTTATTTATTAAATTAATAATTTAATTAGTTTATAATTATTCCAGAAATTATTTCTTTTTGAAATGTCTTCAAATTCAAGAGCATTAAGGGTTAATTTAAATTTAAAAAATAATAATTTAAATTTAATTCTTTATTTTCTATAGAATTCATTAAATGATTTGGAAAATGCCATGGAAGTGAGAATTAATCATAATAATGATATGAACGGAGATTGCTTTTGTAGACGTGTTTTGAATTCGCCATATGGTTTTGTAGAATGCTGCGGTACCATTGGGCACAAAGAATGTCTCATAAATTTTGTATCAGAGTATAAACGTTGTCCTTCCATGGATTGTCTAAGAAGGGCCAAAGAAGAAGATGTTAAAGATTTTAATCCGCCAGAAATTAATATTTTACGAGAAATTATTTCACCAAATAATGTTTAGTGAATTACTGAATTTAATTAAAAATATTTTAAAATTAAACAGATATTATCCTTTTTGAAATATTTATGGAGCATGGTGGTCAGTTTTGTTAAAAATGTTAGTTTAGCTGATAGTAAATTGATTACTACGTTGATTGGAGCGTTTAATGTAAAAAATTTCTAGATATATAAATTAAAAAAATAAATTTAGCATTTTTTTACTGGCAAGCCTTCAATTAGTGGTGGAACTGCTGATAGTAAAAATATGAATGTAGATACTTTTAAGAAATCGAAATTACGATGGATTATAGGGTTTATAGATAGAAACAAAGGTTCAATGATTTTGTTGGCTGTTGCGTTGGGTAATTTAAATTAAAAAATAAATTTTATAAAATTTAAAATCTGATTTTTCTACTAAAATTCGACTTGGACTACCTAAATACCCCCAAAAATATATAACTTCTATTTTTTAAATTTGGGGAAGGGGGGGGGGAACTAAGTAATATCCCCGAATTTTAGACATACATCTTTCAAAACTATTTTTAAACAGTACTTAAAATCAAATTCCGGCTATAAAGCTCCCCCATGATTATCCAAAAAAGACTGATTAATTAAAAAAATATTTTTATTCGATTATATTTTCAGTAATTGTTTGTATTTTGTTCTCTCAATTTGGTGTTTGGTCTTCAATTTTTGTATTTATTCGCCAATCATTTATGGCATTGAAAGAAAATGCTCCAAATCTAGCAGTCGCAGTTATGGCGTTTATAAGAACTTACTTCAACAAAAAGAAAATTGAATTTTAAAGAAATGGAAAAAGAGGAGAATAAAAATATTGTGGGAAAAAATAAAGATAAATTTAATATTTTTTAAAATATTTTAAATTATTAATTCAAAGTTAAATAATGTTTATTTTTTACTCTAAATAAATTTCGGAATTCTTGAATACTTTGATAAAATACAACTTTTAGGAAGTTGGAAAAATGTGAGTATTTGTAATATGGGGCGGGGTATTAATAAGGAATAGGTTGGATCAAGATGAATGACTCAACGAAGATGAATCAAGGATTTTTAAGATTTAAGAGTATATAGAGAGATTTGGGCAGGTTTTGCCTCTCTTATTTGCTGAATTTCGCCCTTTTTGGACTTTAGTATTTCGCCGTTCGCTTTATAAAATACTCTTCGGCACTTTAAAATCACCTTGACAACACCCATGATATATAACTAAATACAACTTTCAAATAATTTCTAGATTATAAAACTTGTCCAATAAAGATAATAAAATTTGCCTTTAAAATATCTCATCATCTTTGTTAGAAAATATATTTATTTGTTTAATTGATAATTTCAAAAAAACTAAAATTAAATAATTTCTAAGCCATCAAGATCATTCTCGTATCTCAATTTTTTATATTTAATATACCAACAATTTTGCCAACAATAAGAAGCTTGTGGCTCACAGAACCATGGCTTAAAAATAAAAGCTTGGTATTTAATTTTCTAATATCTTTTTAGAAAATTTATTTGTTTAGCTGATAATTTTTTAAAAAATTAAAAGTAAATTCTTTCTATTAAAATAAAATAATTCTCATAGATATCTCATATTTATTTATATTTTTTGGTTCTATGCGTTTACATCCCCGCATTTTACGTTCACCCTTTTTTTCATAAATACCTTTCGACGCTATACCTATCCCAATTAATCCCTTGATATCCATCACATTCCACTGTTATCACTCCATATCCCCTTAATCTACACAAATCCCCGTAATAATATTATCCATTGATTTTCCACCCGAAGCCCGGAGTCAACATGTCATGAAATACAGTTTCTGAGATTAGATTTTTCGTCTTTATTCACATTTGAAATAAACTGTAAATAACCGAAAAGTATTGTGACAAAAAAATTAAAATTATGGAGTGATACCAGTGGAATGTGATGGATAAAAAATGTGAATAAAGGCGAAAAATCCGAAACAAATTTGTCAGACAAATTTGTCAGATATCGCTATAGGAAAATCATTTTTTGGGACTTTTTCAGTATGGCACCTTAAATCTAAAAATGTTTTAAAATTCCCCTATTTACATTTGTGTCAATTAATTATTATCACAATACTTTTCGGTTATTTACATTTTATTTTTATTCAGAAAAAATATCCTTTTATTTTAAAAAATGAAAAGAAACTTCATTAAACAATGCAAAGTTTGTGGATCAAAAGAGAATATTTGTTATCATTATGGTGTTTGTACATGTAGGGCTTGTGGGGCTTTTTTCAGGTATTTTTTATTTTTCATTATATTTAAAAATTCTTTCTCAAAAGGCGTTATCTTGAAAACGAAAATAAATATAGATATAGTGAATGTAATTATAAATGTTTGCAAGAACAATTTTCAAATGCGAATAAAGACGAAAAATCCGAAACAAATTTGTTAGATTGTAAAAAATGTAGACTTGAAAAGTGTTTTTCTGTTGGAATGAAAAGATTGGGTTTGTCAAAATATTTAAAAATAATCTGAGAAGGAATTTAGATGTTGGATATGTACGACAAGATATATGCCGGGAAGCGATGGAAGGACAAAGAAGTGGAATTATTAAAGTAAGTCTAACTTTTAAGTGGGGATCGGAAAGGTTACGGTAGAATCTTATTTTTATCGATAAGGCACCCAGTTATTTTTTTGATGAGGCTTAGGTACTCAAACCCGATTAAAGGTTTAAATGGGTCTAAACAACACTATCTTTAAGCTTTCAAATCCTTCAATTGTCGACTTATCCGTCGAAGATCAAAACCAAATAGACTTCATTATACCAATTATTGAAGCCAAAAAACGTATTATGCATGCATTTAATGATTTGGATGATATATTCCTTAAAGGACCGATTTTGTTTGAAGAAATAATTTTATCTAATTTTAATATTTTTCGTTTAGTTGATACTTTCTCGGTAAATTTTAATTTAATTTTCAATGAAAATAATTTTGTTTAAAGCCAAATCCAAGACCAATACCGCTTGATGAGTTAGTAAGTTGGCAATCTTCAATGGAAAATGAAGAGTTGTTTAGTAGTAGAATTCAAAAATGCATTTTAGTTGGCAGACTTTTGTGTTTTGGTATAGCTAAATCTTTACCTGTTTTTGAAAAATTGACTTTATCTGATCAGGTATTGTTACAAGTGAATGAGTACGAATTTTTGTTTGTGACATGCAAAGAAGATTTCTTCAGAGGGTTCTGAATAAATCCCATCCACCTTTCTCACAATTATCCCCGACTTGAACCCGGACACGAAACAATTTGAAAATTGTTTTTATTAATTGCAATTCTACTATACTATTTATAAGGCTCTTTTCTTTCGCCGAATTTTTGCCTCTTTTAGTATTTAGTCTTTTGCATTTAATTTTAGCTTTTAAAATCAAGTTCGGCACAAGTCTGGTATAACGGATGTGTTAAAACTTATTTAAAGGATAATAGGCTAAAAAGAGCTCAATTAATGCAAAAATTATTTTTATTTTTTATAAATAGGTTGCACAACTAAGACAGGCTTATTATGTGTTTACATCATTTACAAGCTCCTACTTAGCTTGGGAATTAGGTTCTGAAACTTGGACACGTAAAGATTGTGTCATGCCTGCTCTCGGTATTATGCAGAATAGTGTATTTTCACATGATGATAAGTAAATAAATTTTTATTAAGAAAATTCTAAAACAATTTTCAAAAAAATTTTTGATTAAGAAGATATGAAAAATATTTCTTTAATTTTTAGAATGATTAAATGGTCAGATTACGCATTTACAAAATCTGTTGGGTACTTTAAACGTGCTGCATTAACAAAAATTGAATTTGCTTTGTTAATAGCTATTATTTTTACAATATCAAGTAAAAACTTTAATTTGTAAAGGCGAATACCGTATATGCTGAAATAATTACCCTCTCTCAATAAACCTCTCTCATACCTTCGCCCTAATAATTATGCCCTTCAGCGAGAAATATAAACAATAATTACGCAGGGTAATTATTTCAGCATAAGTTTTGATTGACCTCATTATTTATATAAATGAGTACATAAAATTGGCTCTACTCCAGTTTATGCGTCCAATCGACTTTTATGCGTCCATTGAAAGTTTATGCGTCCAATAAAAAGAAAATTGGATTTTTCTTGGTATTGCACAGTTGGGGTATGGGTCCACAACATTTCTTCATGTTCGGGACCTACGTTCACTGGGTCTGGGACCATTCCTTACTCTATACCTAGAAATTTTTTAAAGTTATAGCCAATTTTTTAAAATTTCAGAAAAACGATTATAACTTCCAGAAATTTCGAGGGGTCGGGTAAGGAATGGTCCCAGACCCAGTGGACGTGGTCCCGAACATGAAGAAATGTTGTGGACCCATACCCCAACTGTGCAATACCAAGAAAAATCCAATTTTCTTTTTATTGGACGCATAAACTTTCAATGGACGCATAAAAGTCGATTGGACGCATAAACTGGAGTAGAGCCATAAAATGTTGCATAGATATATTAAATTAGGGCTGGGCGGGATCGCGATCCCAGACATTCCAAATCCACCTTAATCACAGTAAAACCCAGATATCTAACTAAAACATTTTTGATCCCTATATATCACATTAAATCCTCTTAAAATTTCCTTTAAGTTGGAAATATAGCGAGAATTATTTTTGCAAGCGAGAATTTTGAAAATTCGGAGGTTAAAAGGTTCTGAGTTAATTAAACCTAAATTTTCCGGAGGTTATTAGGCCGGATTTCCTTCATTTTTGGTGCGTGATATTACGAAAAATTGCATAAAAATCCGCAAATCAAAAAACTAAATTTTACGCAATCCACATACGCAATCCGCAATTGCGGACAGACCTTGTATTTACTCGGTCTTTGACTTTTTTTAAACTAAATTTACTAATTAAACTATAATTTTTTCATAAAAAGATGCTAAAGACTTGTCTTCTGAAGGAAAGGAATTACTTTTAGAGGAATCTAATAAATATACAAATATTTTACTTCGATATAATCAACGAAGATTAGGTTTAATTGAAGGGGCTGAAAGATTGGCTGAATGTAGCCGACTAATTACTCGAAGTATTGAAAATGAATGTGCACTTAGATTAATGTTTTCTCATCAATTTAAGCAATATTCAATGGGTCAACTTACTATAAATTGTCAAACTTTTTTGAAAATTTTTTGAATAAAACTGATTAAAAATTAATGATTTCTTAAAATAAAATATAAATATGTATGTATTTTTTTCTTCTATATTTTTACAATTTAATTTAAAAATAAATTTTTAATCTATTTTTACGATTGGGGTTTCTTTAATTTTTTGATTGTTTCATTACATTTTAGAATCCATATCTTACATAAAAAAGGCTTTTGAGTGGACGGAGTCTGGATTTGAGTGTCTGAGCCTAAGATTACGATAAATTCTCATTTAAAGGATTTTGTAATAAAGCATAAAATGATGTAATTAACTTCTAGTATATTTTTTTAAAGAATCAATCAAATATTCAAAAAATCCAATCCAAACTATTAATCATTCAACAAAAATTTTTTTACAAATGAAGTTTTTTAATAAAAAGTATTAAGAAATTGCAGGTGGATGATCAGATAAAAGCTTTTTTTTGAAAAAATATTAAAGGAAAAAAGGATGTCCGTACTACTAAAGCATTAAATAAATAAAAAAAACTTTTTGCTTTCTCCTTCGAATAAAAAAATATATAAATTGTTAAAACAAAGAAATAAAATTAACATTTTTAGCTAGAAAGAGAGAAAATAATTTTTAAAAAGTTAAAAGATCAAA